TGAAGTGTTTTCGGGTGTAAAGGAGAGTATGCTTGTATTTGGAAATAATTTTTTTTCTCATATACAAGATCTCTCTTACTTTTCACTTGAATAAGTCAGTCTGATGGTTAGCTGTGGTTACTGCCTTTTAATTCTAAATATTGTCTGTTCTAACTACCCCTTGAAATGCCACTTCTCCCAAGTGCTACTTTTACATTAGAAAAGTAATTCATGTGCTTTCTCAACACAGTAAAGCATGCAAGTGGAAAATATGGGGCATTTTTGTATGACTTTGAAGAACATGGATTTCCAACTCATTCTTGTGTAAGCTCAAAGGGTGAAGTGGGACCCTACACCTGTGTATGAAGAGGATTGCATGACAGGGGAACTAGCACCTCCTTGCCTGCAAAACCTGCCTGTAATGACAGAGGATGTCTGGGGCCAGAGGAGAAGGGGGAAGGAAGCTTCTCTGCAGTAGACTGAGCCATGTGATACTGGTGCCTGGGCCTTGGGTAGACGCTCTTGTTGCTTGCCAAGGACTTGGATTTCGGATGTGCAGGTGCTTGGCAGGCCTTGGGCATGTTATCCCCTGCACAAGTCCTCCTTTGGTATCTTTTGCCTTTATCCCCAGAGCTGTGCTGTCACTTTTGGTGTGCTGCAGATGCCCTTCTGCGTAGCTAGTGCCCACGTACATGAGCAGCTCTGCTGCTATGTGTTGTTCTCCATCTGCTGAGGGATGGGAAGGAAGGTGGTCACTGCGCCACATGTAACCCACTGCTCACAGATCAACCAAGTTAAAAATGCAGTTTGTTATAAGCATCTTTACTTTTATTATTGGAAGACCAAGCTGAGTTAGCAAAATGATGAGTGGCATGTTTGCTTGCTGTGTGTATTGATTTCTTTCACTGTGTGATGGGTCTGATATGCATGCACTCAGAAAAATCCAAGTAAGCACCATGCACTTGATGTGTTCCACTGAATAAAAGGCCTAAGAATTTGTTCAGGAAATTAGTTCTACATGATGTGCATGTGAAAGAGCACCTCTTCTGTGACACGTATTATAGAGTTGGATTATTAACTGAAAAGCAGTATCAACTACAAAAATGCAATAGGGAATTCATGTGAGATTGCCCTTTCATCCTGCAATCTGTGGCAGCATCAGAAGTGTGAATAAACTGTACAGCAAGGAGAGGTGAGCACAGCCTGGTAATCAAATACTGTGTTACATCTTGTGCTCATCTGGTGTGCAGTGGCTGAAAGTCAAGTGTCTGCAATCACCAGAGAAGTGTGGATGCATTTCCATTATAAATTAAGTAGCCTAATTGTGTTTGCTTGGGTTTCTTTGTGTTTTATAATTGTATTAGGCTCTTCCCCAGCAGGCAAAAGTGCTTTCATTCACTGGGGTTGTTGTTGTTGGGTTTTACTTACTAACTGCTCATCTGATGCTTTCAAAAGGGCAAGGTTTTGCATACTGTATGGGTGCAGGCGTGGTGCTGGTAGCATCTGACCATGCTGACACTGCCTGGGCAGCCTTTGCAGTCTGTGACTCAGGTGGGTCACACTGGTGGGATGCAGTAGATACTGCATTTGACAGTGACTTTGTTTCAGGAATCTTTAATGTTAATAAAATGTGCAGGACTGGAATAAAATAGGCAAATAGTCTCATTTTTTAAAAATGTCCTAAAATGCATCAATCATATATACACAAATACATGAATCTTATTTTTGAATTCTTTATATTCAGAGTAAGTGTGTTGAATCATGCTTTTTTTACATTTAAAATGCCACGTTGCAAGATTCATGGATACTATAAGTCTAAAGGAATTTTTTTTTCATCCAGGAGGGAGAGGTCTGGAATTCAAAACAACCGTTTTAACTTCCTGAAGGGAGGTTGTGGTGCAAAAGGGTCTGGCCTCTTCTCCCAGGCAAATAGTAGGACCCGAGGAAATGGCCAGAAGTTATACCAGAGGAGGTTTAGGTTGGATGTTAGGAGAAACTTTTTCTCTCAAAGGGTGGTTAGGCACTGGAATGACTGCCCAGGGAGGTGGTGGAGTCGCCGTCCCTGGCAGTGCTCAAGAGGCGCCTGGATGAGGAGCTACCAGAGATGGTTTAGTGCTTGTGGTACTAATAGGAATGGGAGGGTGGTTGGACTGGATGATCTTGCAGGTTGTTTCCAACCTTGTGATTCTGTGATTCTGTGATTCTGTGATTCTGTGATTCTGTGATTCTGTGATTCTGTGATTCTGTGATTCTGTGATTCTGTGATTCTGTGATTCTGTGATTCTGTGATTCTGTGATTCTGTTTCATCGTAGCTGTGCTGTTCAGGTCTGTAAGTGGTGTCCTACATCTACTTGTTGCTGAGAACAACCCCAAAAGATGAATAGATTGTTAATTTGTTATACAGTGACAGCAAGGATCATCTTATTCAAGTAATCTGACTGGTAGTGTCAGTCTGGAAAAAAAACAGATTTAGAGTAATAGTCCTTCGATTTCTGTGTGTATTTGTTTGTCACTACAGCATTGTTAACCCTTTGTGGTGAAAGATTCAAGGAATCTAATCCTGTGAAGTACTGAAATTTCAGAGGGTGCAGAAGAAGCTTGGTGCTTTGTGGTGTATGGTCTATTTCTTTTTTTCTTTTTTATAAAATGAATAAGCCAGTGTTGGTGACTTCATCAGTGGTTACAGTAAATCACGGCATCTTTTGGGAAAAACAGACCCTGACAATGTGTGTTTGTAGTTTATTGAGGTTGTCAGATCTAGACTGATGGAAGGATGTGGAATCTGTATGAGAGAGTTCTCCAGTACTTATGGGCGTCCATTCCTTTAAAATCTGTCTCTAGAAAGTTATAATTACTCTGCTTTTAGAATCTGTCTTCTGCATGCTGGTGCTTGGCCTTTTTGGTATTTTACTGTGCGTGTCACTGAAATTGCTAATGCTGTATTAGCCAAGCCCTAACTCACTTTGTTTAGGTGGATAGCATTTAGAACAAAAAAAAAGTCTGGTTTTGAAAATGCTTTGCCAAGTCATTCTACAGGAAGAGGTGATAAAGAGAAGTTTGATGGAGTTCACTAGATGTAGAATTGTGGAACAAAAGAAGTTTTCTGGAAAAGGAGAGGCTGAAAGATCCCTCATGTTGTCTGTGTGATTCTGTGAAGCTGAATAGAGCAGAACTATGGCAAAGAGCAGAGGCACACTGCAGAGTGGCAGACTTGGACTACAGCTGTGCAGGTGAACAGCTAAGCAGCATACCAGAGCTCTATCTCTTTTTCTTTCATTTTTATTTCACAGTTTGGTGGGCAGATTTTTTGGTGATAGCATTGCCTATGATTAATATGTTATGAAAAGTTCACTGGCAGACTTATAGGAAGAACAAAGCAGTGAGTAAAGAAGTTGAAATTCTTGTCGTGTCATCTTTCAGTAATTTGAAATGTCTAGCTTCAGCAAAGTGTTCATCTGTGCTGTTAATTGCAAAACATCTAGAAAGAATGTGTGGGTCATTTATTAAAAATGAGTCTTTCATGTCCTTGAAGGAACATGCTGCTTAGCATGGCATGTAATAGCAGAACATGTGCTTGTATCTGAAATACTTCTAATTTGTAATTCTCTTGGGCCTGGGCATGTATACAGACTGGGAGGAGCAGTCCTTGAGAATTGCCCTGCAGAGAAGGACCAGGGGGTCCTGGTGGATGAAAAACTTAACATGAGCTGGGCTTGTTTAGCCTGGAGAAGAGAAGGCTGTGGTGTGGTCTCATTGCAGCCTTCCAGTACCTAAAGAGAGCCTACAAACAGGAGGGGAATCAACTTTTTACAAGGGTTGATAATAGCAGGGCAAGGGGAAATGGTTTTAAGTTGAGGGAGAGGAGATTTAGGTTGGATGTCAGGGGGAAATTCTTTACAGAGAGAGTGGTGAGGTGCTGGAACAGGCTGCCCAGAGGTTGTGGATACCCCGTCCCTGGGGGTGTTTAAGGGCAGGTTGAATGGGGCCCTGGGCAGCCTGGTCTAGTATTAAATGGGGAGGTTGGTGGCCCTGCCTGTGGCAGGGGGGTTGGAGATTCATGATCCTTGAGATTCCTTCCAACCCAAGCCATTCTATGATTCTATGATATGATTCTCTTGGTAGTCAGCAGGAATGCCTATGAAATACTGTGCAGCAAAATAGTGGTTTTCATACAGTAGCTATTCAAAGAATGTTACTTCTTTGTAAATCTGTATGTAGTACTTTCTACAGAAAATCAAGGGGAGAGGAACATCAAAATCTTTGCCTCCTTTCTACTGCTCTAGAGTAAATCTTTATTCTTGAATTCACGTATTTGAGGTGTAAGATGTTCTCTGTGTATGTTTTCGCATTTAATGTCTGAAAATTTATAAAACTATAGTGATATTTTATTTTTAATTTTGGTAACTGTAAACTGTGGCAACATCAGAAAATGATGGAGACACTTTTTACCCTTGGATTGTGCTGTGCATCTCTGTACGTTATCCTCCTAACTTTCATTAGATTTTCATTATTTCACCTCTGAATGCATTTTTAGTTTGGTCTTACTGACCACCAATTCTGCTGTGACTTGTCACGTTGAGGCTCTATAATAATAAAGTTATAATCTGATGTCATAACTGCAGTTTGACAGACAATCAGGTCTTGCTTAAGATGTGCTGATGCTGAAAACAATGCTCAAGACACTTAATAAGTATGCAGATGTAATGGTATCTAAAAACCCAAACTCATTAGGATTGTAGCTGTATGACACACACAAAAAAGTCACATTTGATATCTCTGCTGTTAATTCAGGGTGGCCCCACGTATATTAAGTCATACGAGTAATGGAATGTGAAAACAGCTTTGTATGTAATGCACAATTTCTTCTTGGGCTGCAATGCATTATAGGTTTTTTTTTTTAATTTCCTCCAGGTACTTTTTTTTTTTTTTTCCTCCAATATTTGAAAACTGCCAGTTATGTAAGAAGGATAAATATAAGGCTCTACTCATATTTTTAACAGATTTTTTTTTTTCTTAACAGGAATGAACATCTGCACAGATGCTCTCAGTGCAAAGTTGCTAAATACTGTGGTAAATCATGTCAGGTAAGATGAAGAATTACAGCTATTAAGTACTGAAGAAAAACAATCATTTAAATACTTAATTTACAGGGTCTCCATGAATTTTCCACATTGGCACGTCTCTATATTTTTTGGTTTGCGTTTATGGATAGAGAGTGTATTGCCTTGTTTTATTTTGATTATTCTTACAGTTACAAATATAAGATTATATTTCCTGAGACAGAACTAAGATGAAAGTGTGTGATGTTTGGCTGTGCTTAGAGGGAGAATTCTGCAGCTTGCTGGTTGCAGACTGGAGGTTCTAAGCCTATTCTGCAGTAAAACCATTTGTATTTCAAGAGTAATTTTTATTGTGGGAAAGTATATATCCCTTTTGTTTTAAGAGGAAGAAAGATTTGAGTATTTGCAGGTAAGAGGCATTATTGGACAAAACAGTGTCTTGAAGGATGGTATCAAGAAGATGGAGCCAGGCACTTTGCAAAATGCATGGCAGGAAGATGAGGGACAATGGAAATAAGTTGAAAGAAAAAAGATTCAGATGTGTAAGGAAAAACTTCTTGACCCTGAGGACAACCAAGAATTGAAACAGGCTGACTAGGGTGATTGTGCCATTTGCAGCCTTGGAGGTTTTCAGATCCTACTGGATAAATTGCTGAGTGAGATCTGACCACAAAATTAACCCTACTATGCAACTTGAGAACTCCAGAGATCCCTTCCAATTTGAATTATCCTATTATTCTGTTGTATGAAACAGCTTGTAAAAGTGTTCAACCCTAAAAGCTTAGCTTTACTGTTTGATATTGTAACTGAAACTTGTGCACAGAAGTTGGCAGGACTTGGTATTGAATAGTCACACATGGATAGATGACTGCATAAGGTGTGACTTGCTTTAAAAACAACAACAACAACAAGAACAATAACAAAAACTGAAAAATCCCATTTAATTTCTGCATAATTTCTCTTGGGTTTGCATGGTTATTTTTTGTTTGCTTGTCTAAGGAAGACAATTAATTGTTAATAAAGACTAGTAGTGGTATTCTATTACTATTTTATAGTATTCTATTCTATATTATTAGATATAGAAATCTAACTTAATTCTTTGACCTTCAAGTGGTCCTTTCACTTGAAGGACCCTCACACAATGTGTTTTTCGTTGATCCTTTACAATGTGATACTAGAAGCAATTCTGCCTTACTATGATTTGCAATGCTCTCAACATGCCAAAACCCATTCTTCTGGGGATTAATACATATGGAGGGAGAAAGGAGGAAGATAGGACATTTTGATTCATTGTACAGCAAATGTGTGCAACGTACATTAGGTGCTTGCTGTAGCATCAATAATAGTGCCACAAAGAGATTTATTATAGGAAATCACAAGGAAAATATAACTGAAGAATATAGAAGACCAGAGTTATTTGTAAGGTAACTTTAAAACAAATGTGTGTCAGGAGAGTAATTGGTAAAGCCTCTGTTGATGACTCTCTAATGTGAAATGAGACACCATGGCCCTTATGCTGGCACCAACCTGCACAGGCAGATTTACAAGGTGTAATGCAATAGCCTCTTCTCACCTATGTGTAATAGCAACAAAACTAGGAAATGGAGTTTTAGCCTTTGGGAAAGCAATTAGGTGAATTTGCTTTGAGGATTCACACTGGATAGGCCTCAGGTTATCTTGAATATTCTTGTTTTTTGCTTCCAGCTCTAGGGTTCTTATGCTTTAAGCCATCTCCAGTTTCCCTACCTCCACAGGTACTGATTTCGGGGAGTCAGGGCTGGTTCTGCTTTAAGTAATCAGCACTTAACACGCTGTGTATTTATTGTCTCACAGCATCTTGTGCTGTTAATGTTATACAGAATTAATGTGTAATTAATATCACCCAGTCTCTTTTGGTAGTAGATAGCAAATTGAGAACAACTGAAAAAAATTTCAGTTATCTGGACAAAGCAGTGAATTTATTGAGACTGACAATTCTGTGCAAATGATCCGGATAAAACTGAGACAAAGCAGATCTGTTTTCTGTTGAGTTCTGTCCCCTAGTTCATTTTTCTTTCAATAAGCTGTCTAAACTACTGTGTAGCTCTTTTTACAACAGCTGTTAGTGGAGCTCTCCTTGGCCAAGGCGAGGGCTTTGTGCTCTACTTAGGCTTTGTAGCTGCAGTGCAATTCATTAGTTTGTGCCCTTACAGTTGAAATAATTGCTGAACAAAATAAACAGCAGGGTATTGACTCAAATTGGAGTTTGCACATTTAAAAAGTGAATATTGGCAAAACAGCATTATTTTATTCTTGTAAATAACAGACCAGCTTGGAAATATTGGTTGTGCTGTTGGATTTACAATTTACACTTAGCTGCACAATGATTTGATTAATTTTTCACGTGTATTAAATAAATCCCGCTATACAAAACACTTAACTGAGGCTTAAGTCTGTTAGCTTTATGGAGTTTTCCAATTAATACAGTTAATGAAATCAGAATTGAAGTAAAAATCTGACTTTCGAAAATGAGCCACAATGAAACACACTGAAACCCCATATTAACTGAATGGCTGAACTGGATTTGGGATAAAGGTAGACTTTGTGAATGAAACTTTGAAGTACACTCAGCAGGGAATTTCTGTTATAGGATGGACCAAAATTCATTGCAGGGGAGTTGAGCTACATGGCATTCAGAGGTCTCTTCCAATTCTAAGGATTCTGTGATTCTAAAATGAGCCATTTTTAAGGCTGAAAATGTCTTGTAGAAATCCTCACTTGGTTTCAAGTGTCAAGTGGTTAATAAAAAGTGTCTTTGTGTTAACCTGTGGGGGAGGAAATACCCTTGAAAAAGATATTTAGCCTCTTGGAACTTAGCTTGAAAAATGTTATCCTTCAAGAAGATATGTGGGCAGAGCAAGAAGTTCTGACAAAACAGAAGAGGAATTGGAATTTCTAGCTTGTAGAAAATGTTAAAGATGAAAAATTTCAAGTGTACTGTGTCAAATTTCAGAATTCTCTGTTATCTCTTAGGCCAGTTGAAGCTGCTTGCTTTCACTTTTAACACTTAGAAAAAAGGAGATATTAGAAATGTAGGGCTGGAAAAGATCCTTTGGGTTGATCTTTATGATTGAATTCTCATTTTGGGATCATACAATAGTCAAAAGGCCATTTATATGTATGTTACATGTAGGCCTTTTGATTTGAAATGTGTTTTTGAGCTGGACCTCATTTACTTTTGTCCCTTCTCAGCACTTCTCTGCTAGAACTCCTTTCTCACCTGCTAATGCTTAATTTGCCTAATTTCCCAGTGCTGTTTTCTAGCAATGTTAGTCTGGGTATCGCTCCAAACATACAGAGTGACCATGTTTGCTTCTCCTCATAATTGCTGTTGTGATCTTCTGGCACTGTTAATTAATTTGGTGCATCCTACAGTTTGGGGACAAGTGATGTAGATGATAATCCCTGACAAGTGGGACCTTTAGGCTGAATTCAGAATGTGTCATTATGAAAAACTATTGAAATGACTATTTAATGCCTACCTGTGCAACCTGCTGCAGGGAGCCTGCTTTGGCAGGGGGGTTGGATTCTATGAGTCCAACCTGTACTCCCTTCCAACCTCTACAATTATGTGATTCTGTGATTTAATTTAAAATAAACAAATAAAAATCCCACTTTTAATTTTTTTTTTTTGAGCTCTAGTCTTCAATTGCTTCCCTTCTTAGCCACTGGTTTGGGAGGAGGTAAAAGGAAGGATTCTGTTTTTGAGATCTTAAACGCAGTGAAGTCTGGAAGAGGAGCAGTGGGCACTGCTCTGTAGTATTTATTTGTCTTCCCTTGCTTCTTTTTGGGAGTGTTCATTTCTAACAGGGAAAAAATCTGTTGGAAAAACTGGAAGCACTTCCCTGACAAAGAGGGAGAAGGGTCGGACCAGGTGACCATGCCTCTCCATGGCAATGTCTGTACTCATGCCATTTAGAGGGTATAAAAACCCTGTCTGAAAGCCAGGACATTTGGAGTTCAGAGCTGTGGCACCAAGATAAGCCCACCAATAAGTGTCGTTAGAGACTGCCTTTAAAAGTAGGGTTACAGGACTGAACAGTTACATGTAGTTCTGTAATTTCTATTTGTTGTCTGAATAGGAAGAATACTTCTGATCTCATCATACTTGATGTATTTGGAATTTTGCTTCTCCCCTGGTCAGCTAGGAGGAAGTGAGCAGCAGTCTCTGTTCCAGCATCCCTCCTGCAGAAGGATCCCACAGATTTCTTCTTGGCATCAGCTTTTGCCAAGCACTGCTTAGAAGAGAGCATCTGCTCTCAGTGTTATTCTCATAGGGAAATGCAATCCCTGAGAAGTGTGGCATATTAGGCTGGGTGGTGCTGTATGTTTTGTCTCATTAGGGCTTTATTGGTTGGGTAAGCTATTAATCATTTTGGTGTCACATTCAGCATACTTGAAATTCTGTGCAGAATTTATGTAAGGAATGAAAATCGACAGATAAAGGCTTGCTCCGAAGAACAATTTTAGTTCAAGCAGTAGAAAAATGCTCATGTAATTATATTGCAGGGAATGACATCAGGACATTTACAAGTGTGACCTTGTTTCTTCTAGAGAAGAATATTTCTATTGAGCAGTAGATTCTTGCCTTTTATTTGTCAGACAGCATGTGACACTAACTATATTTGGATTAATGCCTTCTTGGTGTCATTTTTTTTCCCTTTCTCGAGCTATGGGTATAGGAAAAGAAACAACAAATCTCCCATGCAACTGAAAGAAATAAAAAATACCATTTATTTAGTATATGTAAGCCAAAGGTGGGGAAAACCCACAGTGAAACAGAATGAGTGTCACTGATGCTGAAGCCTGGCCACCTGAAATGTTTTCCCATATAAACACAGCTTTAAAAAAAATAAAATTGCATAATGACCTCTGTAATCTTTATAACTCAAATGTCAGCGTGTGTAGCTGTGATGTGCACTTGTACATATCACAGATGTTCCCTCTTTTTTTTTTTTTATTGCTGAATGTATAATTGCTTTGTATTGGACATGTTATCATTTCCTATGTGGCATTTACCTTGTAGAAGCTGGTTTTCTTGAGTTTCATTTTTTGTTTTCCTCACTGCATTAATCTGTGAGAGAAGTCACCTTCAGAAGCTTTTGGTTATTCTCAGTTCTTATCACTGTAACAGCTGTTTAGTGTTCTGTTGTTTTCAATTTGCTCATAAAAATGTCTGAAAAATCGCTCATTGTCTTCAGATCTATACTGTGAATATATGTATATATTAACAATGTAAAGATGTACTGTATTAATGAGATGAGCTTGGAGATTTTGTTAAGCATGAACAGAATTTTGAGCTTAGAAAGCTGGAAGTTAGGGAAAAAAAAAAAGGTGGTCAGACATTGCCTCTGTCTTCCAGCATCAGTTTCTCTTTGCCAAAGATTTGTTGTTGTCTGTCTTTCATACTAGCTTGGAAAAGAAAAAAAAAAAAAAAGGAAAAAAGGAAAAAAAACATATTGTAGCACCCTTTCTAATCTCGAGGGTAGGGAGCTCCCTATCTTCTTTCCATAGTGAAACAATGTATGTATAAAGGAGTGTGTGTGTATATATGTATATAATACATCTAGAATAATAATAACAATAACATGAAGTTTTTCTTTCTCTTCCATTTATTTATTTATTTTCAAATTGACAGAAAGAAGCTTGGCTGGACCACAAGCGGGAGTGCAAGTGCCTTCTGAACGTCAAGCCTAATTTTCCTCCAGATTCTGTCAGACTTGCTGGCAGGATTGTTTTTAAGCTAGTAAGTGACATACTTTTAGATATATTCAGTGTAATAGTTTCAGGTTAATACTTTTTCACTCTACATTTTTAATGTAATTAAGAACTAGAAAGCTGAAGTGACTGGGATCGCTGAATAAAATTGGACTGCACACTGCATTAAAATATTACTGATTAATTTGCAGAAGTGTGAAAAGGTTCAAGAGGACTGAAATGGACATAATTAAGCTCAAGAGGTCTGTTTATGAAGTTTTTATTCCTATGGCTGTCACAGCATCCTAAACTTATTTCTGCCTAGAGGGAAAGCACAGAACACACTGTTTTTTGTTTGATACTATCAAAGTTATTGGTGCATCCATCAAGTTCACTGGGAACTTTTTATTTTATTTTATTTTATTTTATTTTTGTTTATTTTTATTTTTTTTTAATATATATGAGTGGTAAAGAGAAGCATGCACTATTAACCCTTCCTTTTAATGTTGGGTTCTCTTAATCTCAATTGGATATTTTTTTCCTAAATTTTTCTTGAAAGTCCTGGGTTTTGACATTCCCACACCTTGATTAATTTACACAGACTAAATTTTCTGTTAAATCAATAGGCTGATGACTGAGATTATAAATCCTTTTTTTTTTTTTTTTTTTTCCTGACCCTGCCATGATACTGTCTTTCTTGAATAAAAATGTATTCATTTATTGGGGTCTGAATGATAGAATGTAATTTAATATCTTAATTTATACATTGTTGGGAACAGTGTGTGCGTGATGGTTTTTAAAGGGCAAATATGTACCTAGAAATGCAGTACATTAATTATAGTCTCATGAAATCTGAGACTACTAACCTCATAAATTGCTTTCAATTACAGTATGAAGGGCCACAGTAAATTACTAAGGGCAAACTGCCAAAGTCGAGAAAATATACTAGTAGAAAGTGTCATAACATCAGAAATTAAGTAGTATTTCATGATAGTTTACAGAAAGTATAGATTGACCAGATTTATGTTGATGCAGTTACCCGTACCTAATTATCTTACAGGCATATCACATTGAATAATCAATTTTGTAGAGTGTTTTCAAGATAAAACATGCCGTGTAAGTATTAATTATCTGTTTTTCTCTACAGCTTAGGCAATCAGCATGCCTTTCTGAGAGACTCTACTCTTTTTCAGATCTTCAGTCAAGTAAGTAATTGCCAGCTGTACTGCAGGTAATGCTTCCATTTTCTGTTCTACAGAACGGCCATCCTACCCTACTGCAGCTTGCCTTCTGAAAGTCTGCTAATGTGGAGTAATAGAATATGGCAGGAAAGTCTAAACTAAAGGCAAAACTGACTGTGTTTAAACCTCTGTGGGAAAGGATTCAATGTTCAAGGATTGATGGAGAAAAAAACAACATGTATCGTTCAAGCAAAATTTTCACCTTATTTAGTCTGTATATTTTTCCTCGTTTTGCAGTATGCATTTTGGTGATGCAGCTTTTAAAGTGAACTGAATATCTTCCTTTTTATATACAGGTTTAATACAGAAAAATTTCATTAGTGGTTTTATTTTTTTTTTCAATAGTATTATTGCTTAAAGATTCAAAATAACTTACAGAAAAAGTAAATACATCTCAATTTAGATGTGATACATGTTTGCTTTGAACATGACTTCTCAATGGAGGAAAAAATAGTTTTGTGCTCCCACAAGTTTCAGCTGCTTGAGTAGGAAAGGAGGTTCATTACAATTTCTCAGAAAAGCTGATAATTGAGATAGGAATTTTTTTCCTAGATTTTTCAGTACCTTGAAGTATGAAGACTTACAGAATAGGAAATGCATCCTTGGTTGAATCGTGTCTTGTTTGAAGGGATTTTGTAGAAAATAGCATAAAAGTATTTATTATCTCAAATTTTTTTAATGTTATTCAGAGGCTTGGATTTAATACAGCTTGAACCATCTCTACTGTTTTTCATTTAGAATGGTCCAAAAGAGGGCTGTGGTATGATGGGGCAACTTGTAGTCACTGTCATACTTTTAACAGTTACTTCTGTTGTTTCATGACAATTCTTCCTATTTACTGAACATTTTACAGATCATGTTGATAAAGATTTGAGATATATTTTCCTTCAATATTGTTAGAATGTATTTGAAAGTCATTTTTTTTCATTAAAGCTCTAAGCTTATAGGGAAAAGAATTTGACTTAATCCTCTGAGGCAAACAGCTTCTCAGGAAGTGTCTGTACAACACAGTATTGTTTCAACACTGTAATCTTTTCAGTCAAGAAGGTCTGAAAGTTGTTATTGTCACTACCCTTTCCCTGTTTCTTTAAAGTATTACTTTTTCAGTGTTACTTGGTATAGTTGGATGATTTTCAGTGTGGATGACCTGTATGCTTTTATTCATTTTATTTTCACATCTGATTAAGTAGGAGGTGTGTCTGTGTATTTGGTGACTTTCACTAGTTCTGGTTTATCATACAGTTTGTTACTTCCAAGGCTTTTCTATCTTGCTGTGTATTAAGGTAATTCAAATGATGTAGACATCAACTTTGCTTACACTTAACAAGACTCAGCATGCATACAAGTGTTTGTGTGTGGTGCAATTGGATGATTTTTTGCTACTTTACTCATATTTGTATCAGAGCTGTCAGGCTGCATAATTAAATCCCAATGCTTGATTTAGAAAACTTTCCATAAGCCTTTTGTGGCATTTTCTCTCCCACACCTCAGTTTTTACCATTAAAAATGTTTTTTATAAAAACACAATTAAAACATTCATGCATTTTTATTTCACTTTGTTTTTTTTTGCCTTGATTTCATGAGGAGTTGTGAAAACCAGGTCTTGGTTGTTTGGATCCCATGGGACTTTTTGCAGAGATCATTAGCTCTAATGCCCTGAACAGAGTCCAGCTTGAATAATTTGCATTCTGTTCCTGTCTCTCCCTGGTATTCCAGTTGGATTTGGTATTCTTTTTCATATCTGTCCTATGCCACAGTGTCCATTTAAGCTGTGTTGCTTAGATTATTACTGTTCCCTATTCTAGAGGTACTAATATTTGCTAATAGTAAAGCAGATCATGCCTGCCTCTTTATCATAATCCATTTTGCAGTGTGTGTTAGTTTGAAATAAATAACATAAAGAAAGTTCAAAACTCCCTGCTCTCTTGAAATAAAACATTTGAAAGAAAAGGCCTCTTCAGTGTCAAAGGAACATTACACAGCAAGCACAAATGTATGACTTTTTTTTTAAACTTGAGTTTTCCAGTCATCCAAAAGCTTGCTAAGTTGCTTGAAGACTCAGTCTTCAAGCTTTTCTATACTGGAGGTTTTTTGTGTTGGAAAGAACAGTAAGTATGTCTGCATTTCTGTCCTTGTACGTTCATTCAGGTTTGCAAGATCACCCTCAAATGTCCACGCTGTTAAGATGCTGAGAAGTAGTTATGAAAAAAGCAAATCCTTCAGTTACCTAGTTTTTGTGCCACTTAACATGGAGCTTTATCTCTGTGTTCCTTTGGATGAGTGACGCAGACTTTCTGAGGAGCTGAATCTGAGTGCTGTGGGAGAGCTTGCCTGTCCTTCCTGACCCTGGTGGAGATCAGTCTTAGGCCACCCATAATATCTGGGGACCCTGCCTGCTTAGCACGTGGCTGACTAAGCCCAGGTATGACTTTTAGATAGCAGTGCCTAAACCCTTGAATGGGAGCAGATCTTGAAGAAAGAGCTCTTACTGGAATGGAAAACAAATATATTACAATAGCAGTGCATAGCAGGAAGATGTGTACTTCTGCTCTAATAAGGTGTGTTGGTAGGATTGCATCTTCCAGCTAACTAGAATGGTCCTCAGTGGCTCCAAATGAGTGTTCAGGTAAGGAGTCCCATTCCAAAGTGGAAGGAAACAGTTGCCTTTGCTTGCCAGCTGTTTCTGCTGCAAGGCATCTAGTTGGTAGATAGCCATGGCTCATTCTAGTAATCAAGTCAGCACACAGTGCTCTGCCAGAGGGGATTCATGGAAGATAATGAAAGCAGCTCACTAGTGTGTTGTGTGTAAAGTGGAAGCTCCATCATAGTCACTTTCACTGTACTCTGGCATCAGGTGTGACACTCGTGTCATCTACTGAGGACTGCACCATTCTGACAGCCCTTGTAAATTCAGTTACTGAACACCAGTGTAGAGTGAATAAATGTATCTTCAAGGCACCTGGTGTTTTACATTTTAAGATAAATTTGGATCATTGTTGCATTGTAGAAACATGGCTCTCACTGGGTGCATCTACTCAGTGCTGCTTTAGGGGTTCTGCTTATTTTCAGCTGGCACAGCTCATGAGGTTGAATTCTGGCTCGAGACCTCAGCTGTGGGTTTGCCAGATCAGGATGGTGTGTGTTTCCCAGGCTTATGGCCTAATGAATCCTATGATAAAACTATCAACTCCCAATGTGGCTTTCAGTGTGGAATTCAGAGCCCTTGGCTCCATTAAAAAAAAATGAATAAATGCGTCCACCATTTACTTATCTGAAACTCTGCAATCCTAGGAACCTAGGAATATGGATTCAGGACACTCACACTGATGTGGCCTTCATCCTTCACCAACTCTTGCACTGAACTTCCTGCTAAAGGTCTCTATCAAACTTGTCCCAGTTTTCTTTTTGCTTGAAGGTCTGACCTTTCCCTCTAGCAGCTGTTTTGCAGAACAGTGGTGCACTTGAGGCTGAACTTCTTGCAGTAACTGCTTCTCAGTACCTTTACTGTACCAGACAAGTGCATTCAAAACTTTTCATAAAGTTGCTGTGTACATTAAGATGTTTGCTACAGGTCTTTGCAGTGACCCTGCTGTAAGAAGCATCTTCAAGGACTTGCCTGACTGCTTTGGGACCAGGCAGTGCAAAACATGAAGAAGACTGTATGTGAAGAAACTCTGTGCATTGCTTGGATTTGTATTTACAGAACAGCCTGAACCTTCAAGTTCAGGGATGCTGGATGTGATAGAACACAGAAGCTTGAGAACTGTACCATTAGCTGGCTGTTTAATCAAACCCAGTGGCATCTGCTTTAACTGTGTTCTCTTGTTAAGTGAGTCATAAGAGGTAGCTTTAAATCCTCCTTCCATGAGATCAGCAGTCATGGATCTAAAGTATGGGGAAGAGCTTTTCTTTGTGAAAGGTTATTTCTGTTCTCAATAAACATAAATGTTTAAAATGTAATAACGATTCACTATTGTGCAGAGATGAAGTTAGTTCATAGTGCACAGTTATCCTCTTAGCCTTTTGTTATGGCTGATTCTTGAACTTGTCCATCTTCACATTCTCCATTTAGGCTTTTGCTTTGTGCTAACTGGCAGGAAAAGAGAAATGTGAACAAGTTAGTAAGACGACACTGAACTTAGTAGGGCAGCTGAGTTTCACTTTCCATGTTATCACTGACCTGATTCATGGGTGGTCTCTTCATTAGAAAACACGTTGCTGTGTTTCTTTCAGGATTCATATTGCAAAGCATGAATAATGGTGCTTTATTATTTAATGTAGGAATGATATTTGCTTGATACTCCTTCTTATCCATTCTGCTTAGCAGCTGCTGTGTACAAAACTCCCTCTGTCTCTAAAATATTTCTTGTCTGCTAGAATAAAAGTTTCTGATGCATCTATGGAGAATATGTTACAAACCTAGATGCCTATTTTTTGTACTAATGACTTACATCTGTTTATGCATCTATTTTATTGGCTTTTGATGTTTAACTCACCATTTTCTTTATACCGTTTGGTAGTAGCAAAGTGATAAACTCTTATTTGTGTTGATAGATAGTTGTCAGGGAAAAAAACCAAAAAAGATAAATGTTTGCCCTCTGTCAAAATTGCCCTCTGCCAAGATTAATTCTAAAACTGGAAAAGTCTAGACTGTATAACTGCCACTGTACGTTTTCAAGCTGTTGGTGAAAGATTCTGTTCACACCTTGGTGTACTTTTCCTTTCCCTTTAAGATGCTGAACAACTAAGTGAAGAAATGAAAGAGGGCCTCAGGCACCTTGCACATACCTTGCAACTGTATCTGAGAGCAGAGATCCAGGATGCATCTCACTTACCACCTGCAATTGACTTTTTTCAGATCTTCACAAAAGTAAGTATTAAAATGTAGTTACTTGACAACTCATAAATTATCCTTTCTTTGTGTTCTTGATTTATTTTTGAGCAGCAGTTCAACGGATGCATCCAGAATGATATTTAACCTAGGAAAATCAAACTGGTTTTTTTTTTTTTTTTTTTTTCAGTCACTACTTATGAAAAAGCGTAGGCTTACATAATTATAACACTTAAAAGTGAAAGTAGCATCCAGTGGCTTTTTTCCTTTTCCCTTTTCAAATTATCATGTTAATGTTCTTGGGGAAAAAAAAACAAGCACATTGAACTAATAAACTTAAAAAAAAAAAAAAACCCACACAATTGAATAAATCAACCTGTGTAGTTTTTCTAATGGTAATGAAGAGCATATAGCATCACTTATCGTTCTACAAATTTTCTGCAAAATCCTTCGTCTTATGTTTCTAGATGGGCTTCAGTCTGTTTTGTCATTTAGTAATATGTGCTAATGGGTGTTTATGGCAGTGGTGTATCCCACATGGGATATGGGTCACGTCGATCTCAAATGCTACATGATAAAGTATTTGAAATTCATTTGCACAGTATGCACGATGTTTGTTTCATTACTAAATAAATATAATTGTTTTTCTCTTATTGCTTTCACTTTAGAAAGTTTAACTTGAGCAGTACAAATAGAAGTGTCATACGGAGAATGCTCATAGTTTTAACTCGAGTAATTTTTAAAAATTTCTTATTGTTAAATTCTAGCATAAGATTTAACTCATGCACACTTCAGTAGTTTTACGTAGTGTTTTGTTATGAAAGAAGCAAACTCTCTTTATGTTTTACTTCTAGTTCAAATAAGAGAGCCTCTTCTACTGAAATTAAAAAATGCAGGTTTTTTCGATCTGTTTGCACGCTAGTGGAATCTGCTTTTGCTGTGGGTAATAGGAGGAACAGGAAACAGTCAACAGTATTGTTTATCTGGAATTTTTATTAGTGATTGGACTGCTATGGTTTAAGGTTTTGATTTTCCTTGAAAAAATGCGCAGGCTGAACTATACTTACAGGGGAAGAGACAACATGCCAGAAGTAGTCTCTAGTCAGACTCTTCTACTGTCTTAGCCTGGCATATCTGATTTGCTAGATGAATTTCATATGGAATGTGAGCTCTGTGTTAACTGGTTTAGAGTATTTGTACAGATGAAGATAAGGCTCGATATCAGATAATGATCATCGCTTAACTGGTTCAAGCTGAGTTATAGCTTGTAAGAATTTGTTTACAGATGTTGTTGCCCTCCATTTAACAATAAGCTTAGGAGACTGGCCATGGTTCTTTCATTGATTTCTTTTAGATCGTTATTGAATGTGTGAGATGAAATGCAATGAGTGATGCTTTGGTAGACTCTCGAGAAGATGTTAATCACATTGTTATCACATTGTTAGACCTGTGATAAGCAGTGGTATTTCAGCTCATTGTTAAGCTCTTTTTACTTAGAAATTGATAGAAATTTATTTTTTCTCAGTGAAATTATGTTAGATTGAAGTGAGCCAACCAAGATACAGTGGGAAGAAAGTATGAGTTCTGCACTTTCCCTCTACCCACCTGTGAGTTGTTTTGTCTGTGTTCTGGCTCTGGACCATGCTTGACCTCTCCCCACATTTAATCTGCCCACCAGCCCAACTATAAGAATTTTTCCCATCAAAAGAAGTTGCAGATTTGTTCTCTGGAACAAGGCAAACTCAGCAAAACTGTTTCTGGCAAATGCAGAGAAGAGACAGGGCTGCACAATGGGGGAGAAAGTTTTATAACTCTTCCTTTTAATGAACTATTAGCTCACAATTTCACACACACATTCTCAACCATAGGAGAGACATTTGAATTTGGACAATGTGGTGACTTTGTAGAAGCAGTGTGAGGATTGCTCAGTATGTTGGAGCACTGGTGGAAAAAATATGTAAGCTTTTAGAATTTTTGATGTGCATGTATACACAATCATCTGCCTCTGTGCACATCCTCTTCCCTCCCTTGTATTTTAGTCAAGTGATGCAAGAGAGGATCAAGGGCAGAATGAAAGGTAGGACTTCATAGCTCCAAATCCTGTTAACTGGAGAATGAAGAATGATTAATTAATGTAGACAACATTTGCCCCATTATGTGAAAACAAAGATGTTTTTAACTCAATGTATTTTCACTGGAACTTATTGAATGCACTGTAAAGTACCAAGTTTTCAAGTTGTTGCTTCTTTCTTTTTAAATTCTATAAGTTCAGAGATGATCAAGTGATTGAAGTCCTTTTCTTTCCTTCTTCCTTGGCTCATTTAACAGTCAGCCTGTGTGACAATTTTCCCTAAAAAAGGAAAAAGGTTGGGCAAATGACACAGACCTACCATGGCCACAGTTACTTCATATTGCTAATTTAAAATTAAAAAAAAAGTGGCAAATGGAAAGGAAGAATCTGACTACACAGGTGAGTTTGTTGGGAGGAAGGAGCTGTTGACTAAATATAACCGTATTCTATACCTGCAAGTAAAGCGAGCATCTTGCTTCAATTCCTGTCAGGCACAATGCCTTTCGAGACCTCTGATGTCACTGTCTAATTTTCAGTGTGGTAATCTACAGCTGTCCCAATTTGATTGTCAGATGAGTGTTGCATTATATTTATCCCACTTTATAGAATGTTTCTTGGGAGATAAGCTGAGTGTCAGTTGAAAAAATCCTCTTTTTTTCTTCTTTATTTCCTTCCCTCCTTTTACCTCCAAGCTAAATAGGGTTTGGAATTGTAAGGTCTCTGATAAAAGACTGATGTGGTCTCTTCTCTGTAGTGTAACTCTCAGAAAAGACCAGCTGTGATGACTACTCTGTGTGGTCGTAGAATAAAGAAATACTACATACACATGATTTCAAGATGTAATCTTGTTTTCCCAACCTCTTCCAACATTCCTTTCAAGTTCAGTAGGTGCCTATTACTGAACTTTTTTGGATTACTTTTTTCATTGCATGCCACAAAATAACCCCCATCAGAGGTCATTTTTATTCTATTTGGTGCTGGATCCTCAAGAAAGAAAATAAACAGACCTCAAGACAAGAGAGAAAATCCGTCCTGCAGTGAGATGACAAAATTCCAGATAGTTATTGGAAGCTCTCCAACCTGTTTTAGGTCAAAGGAGTTTTTTGGAACCTCTTTTAAATAATCTTCAGTTTCTGCTGTCCATTGCTATTGTCTTTGTGGAAAATTAATTATAGTTTTATTTACTTGTGATGTTCAGTAGGCCGAGTCCCCTTGAGTGCAATCTTGTGAAAAATCAAAGAAAATTCTGCTATTGCTTTAAGTGGGGACAGAATTTCAGCCCAGTGTATTTGTAGTTCATGTGTACAAATATCAAGTGAACTAGATGGGAATGTGTTTCAGAAGGGTAATATACATTTCCTTTTTAGAGCTTTGCACTGTTCTCTCTAGACAATTTGCTCTTGTAGCAACTGTTGTTGGAGATAGATTTTATTTTATTTTATTTTTTTTTCTTTTTCTTTTTTCATTCTTGCTATCTGATCACTCTTTGGAAGCTCCAGTGTATTTAATGTGCTGTTTATCAAGGCTGTGGCTGTTTTTAAATTCTGATCCTCAGTATTAAACAGACTTATCTACAGTTAATTACATGATAAGCTTTTAACTCCACTGAGACTCTTTCAAACGTCAAGATAAATTTTTGACACCATGGTTTTATAGTCTAATGGTGTTTCCATAACCTTGAGATAAAATCAGTCCTTGTTTTTGTTAGTTCTTCAGCCTTCGCTTACACATGTGTGAGGAGGTGGCCTGGAATCCTATGAGACACTTAATGGATAAATTTTTTTTTTTTTTTAACGTGTTTATAGTTCTTTTCATAATAATGGACAGAACTACACAAACTTTTTAAAATGCTGAATGAAATCTGTCCCTAGCATGTAGACTGTAAAACAGTGACTTCACTGAGTGAAATCAAACCTGGGAGAAGCTTTTTATTTTTCGGACCATGTGCAGATTTGGTGTTTTGCACAAAATAACATCTTATAATACTATGTCACAGTTGGCTCTTTATGAACATTTTGAATGTGGGTAAAAACTTTTATCAAGTGAAAAAGAAAAAGGTGAGATTTTGGCGTTGGATACAATGGGCAGCCATTTTAAAGGTTTTATAATTTTGGATCCTCGCATGTATGTAAACAGTATATGTGCAACCACTTTCGTGAAATAGAAGTACGACAAAATCCAGCCACGTTTAATGAACTATAATGTGACAAACTTGTAGAGCAGTTCAGTAATTGTAGAACAGAACGTTGCTGGAAAAAAAGGTTTCTGTGTTTTGGTGAGTGAGTTGATAAACTTTTGAGAAGGAGTCAGCTGTGCTTAAGATCCTCACAAACCTCACAAAGCAATCTCCCTCATCTTTCTGTTGTACAAAAGCTTTTATGCATAAGCAGCTTTCTGGGCTTTGTCTTTACAGCATATGGGTTGATAGCAATTAGAGGGAGAAATTCTATCTTTCTGAAATTATTTTCTAGTGGTTCTAATCTTGCTAATTCTTTTTTCTTACAAACAGATTCTATTTTTAAAGTAAATGAGCTCTGTATGGGAACTGTTAGCTCAAAGCCTGAACCAGTGATTGAACACCTGCTGAAGGGGTGTGACTAGCCTTGGGAGCACAGGTGTGAGCAATTCACTTGTGTGACCACCTGTGTGGACCCAGGGTCCACCTTTCCCTTACCTCATTTAAGGGCTGTCTACCAAAGGAGAAGCATCTCTACTTGGAGATTGCCTCCTTTTGGAGTTTCAAGGGAGTCCTGATGCTCAGAAAGGGTAAGTTATTCCTTTGTTATTACTGAATTGTGACCACTAATGTTCTTGGGTGATCCAAAAAGCTCCTTCCATCTAGCTCATTGGAGAGGTTGTATGTCTTCATGCAGATCAGCTGAGCATGCCTCTTTATTCCCATGATGTGCTGCCCTTACCCTCTTCTCAAGTGTTGTTCTGTTATTTCATTTTTAGATTCGTGCAGTAT